AAGACAATATTGATTTGCAACTTAACAGATACCAAAGAGATCCTACAGCTACTCTCCTAGAGTTGTCAGAAAATCGCACTATAATAATGAAATCAAACACATCTCCCTTTATGATTTATTCTTAATCTAGTATGCATTACCCTTCACTGGTTAGCCTTCTTATCTGACCACCAACTCACTAATCAGTCAGTAAGGGATCATCTAAATGTCATGTCTTTAAGCAGATATTGAATTCATAGATTTTTGGGTTTTGTTGGTTGGATAGACTGAGGTCTGTGTAGACCTATATGGGCATATTGAATCCCATCTTGGGAGTATCATGGAAACTAAGGTGGTAGATTTTATTTGATCTCCAGGTTGATCTGGTAATTTCACTAGAAATTTATCAACTACAACTTACATTTTGTCTTGTATGTCCTTTATATCAGTTACAAGGAGACAACACTTAAACAGAGTATCTATAACATTAGCTGTTTCTTCAGGTGGCTAGAGGGACATGTCATGTTTTATTCACATGAATTTGAAGATTAAATACATGAAGGGGCTTTTTTAGGCTAAATTAGACCCATACCTTTTATTTATTGAATTGGGAAAGAAGATTAGGGAGTAACATTCCATCCTTACTCCTGCTCCTTCCCAACACACACACACGCATGCGTGCGCACACACACACACACACACACACACATACGAATATAAGGGCCTTGAGGCAGGAGTATTTGGATTTGGCTATTTTGTTCAATGCCAGCATTTAGAGTAGTGATTATCACATAGTAGGTGCATAATCAATTATTGTTGCATAAACTTCTACCTGTACCTTGATTTGTGTGATTTGGGCTAATAAAAGGGGCTGCTACATTGTAGGTGCATAGTAAATATTTCTAAAACAAATGAGTTAATCAACCTAGCTCATTTCTGAGAAGTAGCTTGCTATATTTAATTATTTTATAGACGGTGTAAAAGGGGAAAATTTTAGAATTCCTAATTTATTGTCAAAAATGTGATAGTTTCCCATATAAATGGTATTCCTTTGTGGCAGCATTAGGGTTATAAGTTTGTGTTAAAAATATACATACTGACAACACCAAATGCTGATAAGGATGTAGAGCCACAGGAACTCTCATACATTGCTGGTGGGAATGCAAAATGGTACAGCTACTTTGGAAGACAGTTTGGCAGTTTCTTACAAAACTAAATATATTCTTTCCATATGACCTGGCATTGTGCTCCTTGGTATTTATCCAAATGGAGTTGAAAACTTATGTCCCTACAGAAACCTGCACACAGATATTTATAGCAGCTTTACTGTTCTACAGTAGGTGAATGGATAAATTGTGGTCCATCCATGCAATGGACTATTATTCAGCAATAAAAAGAAATGAACTGTCAAGCCATGAAAAGGCATGGAGGAGACTTAAATACATATTAAAAGAAGTCAATCTGAAAGGGCTGCATACTGTATGATTCCAACTATATGACATTCTGGAAAAGGCAGACCTGTGGGGACAAAAAAATATCAGTGATTGTCAGAGGTAGGGGTGGAGGAGAGATGAACAGGCAGAGCACAGAGGATTTTTAAGGCAGTGAAAATACACTCTATGGTGTCATAATGATGGATGGGTGTCATACATACAACATGAAGGGTGAACCCTAAGGTAAACTAGGGATTTTGGATGATTATGATGTGTCAGTGTAGGCTCATCCTTGGTAGAAAATGTACTGTTCTGGTGAGTGATGATAATAATGGGGAAAGTTATGTATGTGTGGGGATAGGGGATATAACAGAATTCTCTGTACCTCCCTCAGTTTTGTCATAAAACTAAAACTACACTAAAAAAATGAAGTCTTAAAAAAGTATGAGTAGTGTTATTGCTCATACTTTATTTGCATATTGATTTCAGTACTTTTGGCTGAGGATAATTTTTTTTTTTTTGCTGAGGAAGGTCCTTTAAAGCATGCTGATTTTTATTTATTTATTTTTATTATTTGTTTATTTAAAAATCCTTTTTAGAGTGAGTGTACATGAGCAGGGGGTGGAGGCAGAAGGAGAGGGAGAGAATCTTAAGCAGACTCCACACTGAGCATGGAGCCCAACGCCAGGCTTGATCTCACTACCCTGAGATCACGACCTGATCCGAAATCAGGAGTCGACGCTTAACCAGCTGAGGCATCCAGGCACCCCAAAGCATATGTAGATTGTCTTGCCAAACAGCAGGGGAGTTTGATAAGAGCCTGCAGTTAAGGTGTTATATTATCTTTAACTTAATGCTAAGTGTTTAGGAAATTACTTGAATTTATTTTGTTACATTTAAAGTTTTGATAGGTTTGATAAATAAGAGTAAGTCTACTTAATAAAGGACTAGAAAGAATCACCAATAACAGATCCTTGAGATTATTGAGTTCTCTGGCGTCTATATCAGATTCCTGACCCTTTAGCTATACTGAAAAAATTGGCAGCTGAGTTAGCAACAAGATATTTTCTCCACACTTAGTGTGGGACCTACATCATAAGCAAGAAAATGAGTCAGAAGAAACTTTTTAAAGGTTCACTAAAGAAAACTTGGAGATACTCTTTCATTGCCTATGGTTGCATAAGTTAGACTCCACTAATATATTTGGTAGAAATGGCTGCTTAATTTAAGGAAGAGGAAGGTAGCCTTGAGAAGAAGTAGTAGTTGAATCAATTAACAGGAAAAACAGTTACCTCCAACATGGAGTGTATTTATATGCCAAGGTTTGAAAAGGCCATTCTGTGGTAAAACACTCTCAGTAGTAGCATTTGCTGATGGTTTATTTTTGTGACTATCGTTGGCATTATTTTTCTCCTAGAGCTCTTCTAAGTCTGAAAAGGTGGAATTTTATATGAAGTTCACACTCTGATTTTTGTTAATGATATGTCTGCCTTTCTGCGTGAACTTCTACTGTACTTTAAGGTGAATTCTTGCCGCTTGATCTTAGTAGCTCTTCTATGTGTTGAATTAAACCTGGAAGAGTCTCATAAATGTTTGATTGTGAAGTACATTTGAAACACAGTTTCTATTTTATAAGCCCTTTGCAGAACTTTCAAATTCTATTTAGATAACAGGTATGCATAGGTCTAAATGGAAAACCTGACATATGTCTAGACAAAGTTTTTTTTTTTTTTAACCATATTTGTGCCTTTTGTGACCTATACTTGGAATTTCATCCTAGTAGTGTTTGAGTTTGGAGACTAGGAAAGATGTGAAAATCTGTCCCTTATAATAAGTCAGGAACATGACTGAGTCATAGTCATATAAGTTTCAAGGCTGGATGGATCAAATGAAAGCTTGGGGAACTTGCCAGATTGATTCTCACTCTTTTCTGATGAATGTGGATTCGGTTATTCAGCTTCAGAACAGATTATTGCTTAGCCCTCCATCTCCCCCTAAAGAGAATAAAGTTGAGGTTACAATCTAAAGGATGATTGCAACCTAAAATAGGTAGAGTTGTAAAAAAATCTTCAGGTGCCTGCATCATACCTTAAGATCTTAACTATAGATTATAATGGAACCCTAGGTTTTGATAACTTATATGTAGATTTTGTTATGGTCATTTAGGGGTTTGTTTATTTTTAGTATATTTGACCTGTTTGTCATTTTAACGGAAGCAAGTTAAATGCTAAACACATTTAAAAATCTTTCCCTGAGGACACTCATTGATTAATGGTGTGGAAAATATCGTGTGTATGAAACAGCAGAATTTCAGTCAGTATCAGTCTGCTTTTAGGTTACTTTTATCAACTTTCTTGGTGAAAAATTAATTTTAATATTAACCAAAACAAAACCCAAAAGGTGAATATATAGGAAAAGAAATACAGTTAACCCTTGAACAATATGGGTTTGAATTCTGTGGGTCCGCTTATATGTGGATTTTTTTTATGGTTCAATATATACTATAAATGTATTTTCCCTTCTTTATGATTTTCTTAACATTTTCCTCTCTCTAGCTTACTTTATTATAAGAATACAGTATATAATACATAAAACATACAAAATATGTGTTACTTGACTTTATGTTATTGGTAAGGCTTATGGTCAGTAGTAGTTATTAGTAGTGAAGTTTTGGGGGAGTCAAGTTATACTCAGATTTGGCTGCACAGGGTGGGAGAGGTCAGTGCTCCTAACCCCTGTGTTGTTTAAGGGGTAACTATAATATTTTTAAGCTTATCTATTATATTCTTTCAGGGAAGGTATCAGATACTTGACAGTAGAGCTGGCATCAAAACTAGTAACATGTATGATGAGTGCTATTGAGTATTTATGGTTTATTTTCAGGAAATTATTTTAATTGAACAATTTAAGCATTTTTACCATCAGGATATCAAGAGGGTATGATTTTTCCAATGTTTACTCTGCTTTTTCAAAACAAAATTATCTCAAATTTCATATGCTTTCCTAATTTTATATAAGATGGAATAAAGTTCTCTTTTTCTCAATATTACTAAAATAGCCAGTTATTTCTCATCAGTGTTATGTATATCAGTTGTAAACCTCAGGCAGTTTTCCTCCTCAGGGAACATTTAACAATGTCTGGAGACATTTTTGATTGGCACCGTTTGGGGGGCTGTTAACAGCATATAGTGAGTAGAAGCCAGGGATACTACTAAACATCGTATAGTGCACAGAACAGCCCCCCGCCCCCCCCCACCACCTGCCCTGCGCCCAAGGAGTTATCTGGTCCAAAATGTTAATAATGCCTTAATTGAGAAAGCCTGATATATATAACTTCATTCCTTAAAGTGTAGGAGAATAAAGTGTCACCTTCAAATTCAGTATCCATATGTATACTACCATGACAATATTTAGACATTGACTTAATATCAAGAAGATTTGAGGTGGCTTGACATGATATGAAGGAGTTGTTCCTCAAGGATGATTCAGTTACAGTAAGTTATCAGTTTGTCCTTGCACTTTATAAGTTACAGAAGTGGCTTTACTTTTTGTGATTGGGTTCATGTAATTCTTTTTTTTCTTTTTAAGCAATTAAATATAAATCCAATCTTGTGAAGGAGAAAACCATTCTTTTATTTGTTGGTGGACTAGTGCTCACTATAGTTGTCATTGTTGGAGCCATTCTTTTTGTCCCAGGTAAGAAACACTGTTATATGAGGGACATAGGATTGATGGAGATGAGGGGCTGGTGGGGTGGGGGGGCAGGTGTTAGTTTCCTAGGGCTGCTGTAACACATACCCGCAAAGTGGGTGTCCTAAAACAGTAGAAATTTTCTCACGGTTCTGGAGTACATAAATCTGAGATAAAGATGTCATGAGGGCCGTAATCCCCCCTGAGGCTCTAGGGGAGAATCCATTCTTTGTCTCTTCTAGCTTCTGGTATTTGCTGGCAGTCTGTAGTTCCTTGGCTTGTGGCACCATAATTCCAGTTTCTGCCTCCATGGTGTCTTTGTCAAATCTCCCTCTGCCTCTGTCTTACAAAGACACTTGTCATTGCATTTAGGGCCCACCTGGATACCTAGATAATCCAGGATAAACTCCTCCTTTCAGGATCCTTAACTTAATCATCCTTTGCTATATAACATAATACTCTTGCCACAGAAATTAATATTCACAGATTCCAAGGATTTGGAGGTGGGCATATCTTTAGGGCCATCATTCAACCCACTGCAGAGGCAAACTTTATTTGCCAAGACATGGAAGTGGGAATGAATGTGGGAAGTCTGTCTGAAACCACTTGTGTTCGGAGGATGGGAATGGGGGTGGAAAGAAAGGGTATACGGCCCATGGAAAGCCAGCAAAGGTAGCCTGGGACCCACAGTGTGGACTGGAGAGAGCCATTGTTGTTTTTGAGCTGAATACAGTATAGATATAATGTTTAGGAACATAAATTTGGCAGCTCTTTTTGCCTCTGGAGTTAGAACACAGGGAGGAAGGAGATGAATTCAGAAGATTACTTGCGAGAACAACTGTTTTGACTTTGGGACAGATTGAACATAGCCAGTGAAGGGAATGGCAAGAGGTGACTCAAGAGCTTCTCCCTGGAATTCTGTAAGGTAGTTGAAGAGGCAAAGCCAGTTTAAGGTTTTGACATGCTGAGACTTAGGTGGTGGCGTTTACATGTTATAAGTTTGGTCTTAATCTGAAAATAGTCATTTTATGTGAAGTTCTGGGAGAAATATATTTTTAAGCCTTTTTAGTTTGTAAGAGGAGTATTGAGACTGATACATTTAGTAAGTTTAAGTACTTTAACTTCCTATAGAGTAGGAAGTATGTAGGATAATATTTTAAATATTATTTTTATTAACAGGTGAATATTCAACAAAGAATTCTTGCGGACTTGGTTTAATAGTAATTCCTACAGTGATATTAATATTACTTCAGTACTGTATGTTTGTAATAGGTGAGTATTTGTTATAACATGATTTTGTCTGCCTTTTTCATTTTAAAAACAACATTTTTGGTTAAGGTATTTCTTGTATTTTTTTTTTTTTTACAACTCAATAAAAGTTGGCTTATTAAAAGATTTTCCAAGCTATTCTTTGTGACATTTTCCCTGTATGGATTAAATTTAAGGTTAGCTTAGGTTTTCAAGGCATTCTGTTATTTTCTAAAAAGTAATTTTCATATATCTTTGTTGCTAGGCAGTGGATTTTTCAAATTATGTTATCTTCATGTTTTTATTACAGTTTTTTCAAGTTATAAGTAGATATTAAACATATTTTTTCTTTTTTGTTAAGCCTCTCTGTTAAAAAAACAGGTTCTACAAAATAGGGTTATCAATTAAAAATAGTGGAAATATATATCTTTTTTAGTTATTGGCAAATCTTAACATTGTAGATGTTAAGATGATACAGATATCCAACCTATAGTTGATATAATCTTAACTGTTTTTTGGAGTCAGTCACTAACATATTTTTGTCATTATTATCATTATTACAGTCTGTTTTTTTCTATTTGTACATTTAACTTTTGGTCTTAGAGCTTATCCCTGGCTTGATTAAAAGTTATTAATTTGTTATAAAATCACAGATCTAGACACTCAAGACAGAGGGTTGTGATGTTTACAAGGGCGTGTTTGCATAATGGTTGTCTCCACCAGAGCAATTTTATGTGCATGTGGCAAAGTCATGCATAATAGCCATTCATACTGTAAAATGCACAAGTGTGGTAAAAGCAGCACTGTTCTAAGATTTTGGGCAAAAAGCACCAGTCCAGCTGAGCTCACTGTGAAAAAAAAAAAAAAGACTGCTGAATGTATGAATCTGGAACTAACTACTTGTGTGAAAAAGCGAAGTTTAGGTCATTGGGAAAGAAGCTACCATCTGACAAGGAAATCCAGAGTCAGTCTTTGGTCACTGGATGTTATTTTTGGTTGCACAGATTACAAGGAGGTGTGATTGCTTCTTAAGTGCTCTCAACCCACTCTTTCTTCCTCTAGGTGGTTGGATTTCTCCCTTCACTATTGCCATATTAATCCTTCAGGTACTGGGCTATGTGCTTTCTGTGGTTGGACTAAGCCTCTGTGTCTCAGGTAAGGGCCATGTTCTTCTCTAGTCCCAATTTGTCTTACTAAGAATTTCTCGTGGACAGCGCTCTTCTTCCTCTTCTTTATCCGCTTACCTACTGAAGGACATCTTGGCCACTTTCAGTTTTTGATGAATAAGAATAAAGCTACTATAAACATCATATGCATGTTTTTGTGTGGACCTACGTTTTCAGCTTCATTTAAGTAAATACCAAGGAGTGAGATTGATGGATTGTTAAGAATATATTTAGTTTTGTAACAAATTGCCAAACTGTCTTCCAAAGTGGCTGTGCCATTTTGCATTCCCACCAGCAGTGAATGAGAGTTCCTGTTGCTCCACATCTTTGCCAGCATTGGATGTTATGAGCTTTGTGAGCTTTTCTTTTTTTAACTTTCATTTTTTTCCCCCTACTGAGAATAGTGTTTTCCGTATTGTCATGAGAATATTGGCTGTATATGGCCTGTGGGCTGATTATCCTAGCAGCCAAACTGCTACGCCTACATTTGCGGGAGAATTTTTTTAAATAACCAGGCTCCAATCGGTTGGAACATTAGGCTTTATGCACTGTTTTACATTAATCTTGATGCGATAAGGTACATGTTATGCAAACATTTTCTTTTAATAATTTGGAGTCCTTTTCACTGGCTGAGTGAATAATGTTGAATATATATAGATAATTTTTGTTTTTTAGTAATTAGAAAAAGAATTACTGTCCTTAAAACTTGATATATTACTGTTATTGTTGGGTCTTAAAAAGTTCACTTATTTCGGGCGCCTGGGTGGCTCAGATGGTTAAGCGTCTGCCTTCAGCTCAGGTCATGATCCCAGGGTCCTGGGATCGAGTCCTGCATCGGGCTCCCTGCTCCTTGGGAGCCTGCTTCTCTCTCTCTCTCTCTCTCTCTCTCTCTGTCTCTCATGAATAAATAAATAAAATCTTTAAAAAAAAAAGTTCACTTATTTCATGTAGATTTCTAACATAAAATTTCACTTGTTTTTACAGAGTGCACCCCAGTGCATGGCCCTCTTCTGATTTCAGGTTTGGGTATTATAGCTCTAGCAGAATTACTTGGATTAGTTTATATGAAACTTGTTGGTAAGTCGATCTTATTTTTGTCAGCCTATGCCAAGAACTTCAAGTATATAATTTGGAAAATTCCTTTGATTGGCTCTTATAATTTATTACTAAAGAAATTTATCAGTGTTTCCAGAAATGAGAAAATACCGTAAATGCAGCTATATTTTTTAAATAATAAAATAATAAAATTGGAATGATTTGGGGGTGATGAAAGAGAGTAGAAGTAATATGAATTAATGAAAAGTTTAGATTATAGACTAGTTTAAAAGAAAATGGCTTTGTTTTAGAATGTATAGACTTTTTTATACCACCTAAAAGGAGAGAATGTTGAGGATTCATTTTAATAGGAAAGGATTTTTAATTGGCCCATTAAAATTCATTTTAATAGGAAAGGATTTTAATTGGTTCTATGAGAGCTAACTCTTTTACAGAGACCCTATTTGTTACTTCCTGTTCTTGCAGACTGTTTGCAGACCTTGACACCCCAAAGTAGACATGTTGAAATTCAAAATCTGTCACTTTTGTTAAAGAACAGTGTCCTCTGACTTTACTTGACTTTAAAATATTTTTAGTTAAAACTAATATAAAAACATGGAGTTTTAAAATTTAAGGCCTTACTACCTTTTTAAAAATTTATTTGTTTTTAAAATCCAGTATAATTAACATACAGTGTTATGTTAGTTTCAGGTGTACAATATAGTGATTCAACAGTTCTATACATTACTCAGTGCTCATCATGATGAGTGTACTCTTTAACTTTCATCCCCATCACCTGTTTTACCCATCCCCCCCCACCTCCCCTCTGGCAACCACCAGTTCTCTATATTTAAGAATCTTATTTTTTGTCTCTTTTTTCCTTTGTTTGTTTTGTTTCTTAAATTCTGCATATGAGTGAAATCATATGGTATTTGTCTTTCTCAGACTGACTTCACTTAGCATTATACCCCCTAGATCCATCCATGTTGTTTTTACTACTTTTAAAATCAATTGTTAGTAAGTTGGGAGTTCGCTAATTATTTCTGAACTTCATATTTAATCTGCCAATTTTCAAATAACAGATTTCTATATAAATTCTTATTTTTTATATATATAGGCATGTGCTTTTAGCTAGTATGTTGTCTTATTTAAGCTAAAAATGTTCCCTGTTAATTGGTTTACATTAGTATCCCTTTAAAAAAATTTGTTTTTTGTTTAAGAAGTAAAGCAAAGCAAACTCTTAAGCATTTGTCAAAATAATCAAAAGTTGCCAAATAATGGAGTAAAAAAATCAGTGTTTCTGCTTTAGGTGAACTTTACTGTGTTTCTAAAAATTAATATAAACCTTGAATTTTTATAGTCAAATAATTTTACATATGACTTACATAATACTCTCAAAGAAATTTTACCTTTGTTTCTGAACTTCAGTTTTTGCTGACTGATGAATGAGTTCAATTTTGTTATATATTCTTTGTCCCTGTTTGGTTAATGCTTATTAGATAAATAATTAAAATACTTAACTAAAATCTCCCTATCTTTGGTTCATGTGTTCTTAAGTCAGAGTCGTTTCCTCAATGAAATTTTCTTAGTTTGTGACTCGTAAGCCCCTAAAACACAATGAAGACTTCTCAGCAGAATGGTGTTCATTTAGTAGCTGTCAGAAGCATCACATTATGAATGTTGATACATATTCTATTTTTGTTGAGTATTCGAATCACCATTTGTGTGGTTCTTGAAGATGACACTGCTGGATATGTTGCTTCTTATGAATGCTTGAGAACAGTATGTGACCTGCAACATGATGCAGTGTTATGTGTCTTTGACTGATAGTAAGCTCTTTGTTCTTTTTATTACTCATTATCTAGATCATCGTCCCTTTTATTCCCATGCTCCCCCAAGCCTTCCATGTCTAAAGAATGATGCTCAGTAGAGTTGCCAACAGGTCTGGAATGCTGACTCAGGTGGAAATAGGCATCAGCTAACTGCCACCTCCTGGGCCCTGCTCTCTCCCTTCCCCATCGTTTACATCCCAAAGAAGCTTGTGAAACCACTGTAATTACACACATACTGTTTTCACCTTAAAAATCAAACTGAAAGTGAAATCTTGAAAAGTTCCCCAAATTATTTTTTCTCTATCATAGGTTAGCATATAAATATGTCACATGTAAGTTAAGAATTTAGTCCAATTTTATTGACATTTTGAGAACATTCTAAATTAACTTTCCAAACCTTGTCTGATGCCAGAATTCAGAGGCACACCTTCGGTCAGTTGAAGGGCAAGAAGAGAAAAGGTACAGGATAGTTGCTTTTTAGTTAATGTGGCAGAATAGGAAAATTGATGTGTTTTTCTTAAAATAATAATGTGTAAAGATGAGTATATGTAACATTAAGGTTGCAAATTTTAACATTTTTATCAGGAGGTAAAAATTGTAAATGTTTCCAAAATAAATTTTATTCATTGCTGATGCTCTGTTTTGGAAAAGCTTAATGAACGTGTCTTGACTTAAATGCAATAAAATCCTCAATTTGTTGTTGTTTTTGTCGTTAAAATCCAAGCTAACTCTTTAAGAGTAAGTTAATGGCCCTATGAGAATTTTAACTTTTGTTGTTTTTATTTCCAAGCTTAAATTTGTAGCCTTAATTGTTACTCTAGAAGTAAGATTTTTAAATTTCATTTCCTATGATCTTTTTAAACTGTGTTGGATTTCATTTTTTTACGGGAAGCATTTAAGTTTTGCAAAATGAAATTGGGGCTAGAAACAATAACAATGTGAGATCATACAGAAAATTAAATAGAACTAACTAAACTCACTAGAGTTAGGCTTGTTGTTTGTATGCGGCATTAATATCCATTATTTATAAGAGTCAGTACTTGTTCATTTTTTTGTTAAAGTCATTACCACTTAGTTCAATATAAGTGTATATAAACGTGTTTTGTTACAAATCAACCTACTAGTACACAGAAACCATATTTATCACAACATCCTAGTTGTTTTAGAATGACATGGAATATATATATATAACTCAGTGATATTTTATAGCCCATTGTTAAGGAGAGGTGAGTCTGATATCAGTAGGAAAATTATTCCTGAAAATTTAAAACCTAGAAATACATTTATACTGTGTGGTCACATGTTTCAGGGAGAGAAGAATAAATCAAGAAGAAACCTTGCAAGGGAGCTTATATGGAACCCTTAAGGCTTGTGGTTTAAAAAATAAATAAATATATTTTATATATATAATAATTTTATATATAGTAAGTATATTTATATTTAATAATATATCATATAAATATATATTATATAAAGTGTTATATATTTATAAATATATATAAACTATATAATTAACATATATATTTGTATATATATATGTTTAACTACATACATACGTGTAGCTGTCAGTGCCTTAGGTCCATTATAGTAACAGATAAACCATAGTAATTTTGTCACGATGATCTTATGCCTATGGAAGAAGATTAGCTCAAGTGAAGTTAACTTCTGCATTTTTGGGTTTTATACTATTAGAGGGAGCACAGCTGACTTTTATCCCTCTGAATCATTGTTCTTTATAGAGTTCTTTTTCAGAATGGTCTAGCCCAAATGTGATGTTCCTTGGACCTGAGAATTGGAACTCAGAAACTATTCTTTATACATTACTAGAACAGAAAAGGAGTTACTTGGAAGTTCTTAATAATAATTCTAATAAATTTATGATCTCAAAAATGTAGGTCTAAAATCTTACCTCTGACCCTTCACACCACCAGTCAGAAATTTTCACAGCTGTTTTCTTTCCCTTGATAGAACATAGAGGGCATGGTTTAGTTGAAGTAAGTTGTATATACATGTAACTACCATGATGATCCCTAACGAAGTTCTGTAATTCTGCTTGGCTTCTTTGGAAGGCTGCTAAGTGTGACTCACCCATATTCCCAACCCATTTCACTCCATACTACTATTTTTTTTTAAGATTTTATTTATTTTTTAAGTAATCTCTACACCCATCATGGGGCTCGAACTCACAACGCTACGATCAAGAGTCACACCCTCTACTGACTGAGCCAGCAAGGCACCCCACTCCATACTACTTTAAAAAGTGGTTTCCTTGTTTGGCTGCCAGGACCATATCACTCCCTAAGTGCTTCTAGCAAGGGAGCTTTACTTTAAAGCCACACATGATACTAACAGAGAAGGGAATCTCCTGAGAGCTGGGACACAACCAGGCCTCATAGGGACTGGAACAGTAAGCAGTTTAGGAATTGGAAGTATCCGATGCATTTCTAAGAACTGAGCCACCATGTTGCCCTCTAATAGGAGTTTGTCAATGCCCATCTGCCAGTTACACTATTGAGTTCTTCTCTGGTTCTTTCCCTACAAGCTTATCCTCCTCTTTATGGCCTTATCTTGTATTTTATTTTTTTCATTTCACTGATAGTTTCTCTTACCTTTGTCTTTAAGCCTTGAGCTTCTCTCCTGGCTTGCTGTCTCCGTGTCACCTTCCTTTCCATCACCAATTTTCTGGTCTTCTTTCTGTTTCTCCTCCTCATACTCCAGTGGGAGAGAGAAACTTTTCAGGCTAGTCCATCGCTGTGGTCTCTGTTTGAGAGAGCCTGTCAGCTTCTGGCTAGTGTGTACGTTGGCTGCCCTTGGGTAGGGTCTCACTCCCATTGCCCATCAGCTTTGGAAGCTTTGTAGGGGTGGGCATGGAGGAGGAGTGGTAGGAAGTAGAGCGCACAGAACCCTAGAGCAGTCCCTGGAGCTTGCCTGAGTCTGCTCACAGTCAAATCCAGGCTTCCATCCAACCCCCAGGACAGTGTAATTGACTGTCCTGTAACATCACTGTCCTACCAGCTGGCTCACAGGATGTTGCTGGTTGATGCTTTTATATATGTAGGACTCATTCTGTATTTAGGACTGGTTTGAGCTGCTCTGGGACCTTCTCACTTGGCTTTGTAAGGAAGTTCTCTATTTTTTCCTATGCAGCCAGAGTAATATTTTTTCCCTTTGTCACTTACTTTCTTCATGCCCTATATTCCTTCATCTCCATTAACCAGTCCGTTCAGAAGCAGTGCCAAGGGTGACTTGGAAAGCTGAGAAGAAATACATAGAGAAGAAGTTGATTGTGGCTAAAATTAGCTGCTTAGAATAATTCATTGAACTCAGAAGGATCTGAATATTTTCTTTAGTTTGTTAGCTATTTGGAGCTTTGAAAACGGGAAAGATGGAAGCAGAAGAAAAGACTGGGCCACAAGGAACAAGAACAGTGAGCTAAGGACAGGCAATGGAGTAGGGGGTGGAGATTGGTCATTGCCACATTCTGTCCACTTTCTGGCTGGGCTGAGTGGGGGGGGTGTAGAGTTCACAGTGGGGGTGAACAGATGATAGCATTTTTCAACAAGAAGTATAACAAATAGCTGATTTGGGGGAAATAATAGCATGTACAAATGAGAGAATGTAGATGTTTTATTTGATGTAGATGAATCATTTAATCATTTTATTCTATCAATGTATATAATCATTTGCAATTAATCATTATATAGTCATTGAAATGAAACATTATATTGCCTTTATTTGTTTCATTTATTCAGTTCATTTTCTCAATTTTTATTTATATCAGCTTCCAATCAGAAGACTATACAACCTCCTAGGGTAAGTTAAACTTTCTTAAATGAATTGGGAATGACCACTTGATGGTTTTGATTGAGGAATGGTAATTGAGATATCGAAGCCTTTTGCTCTCTGTTTAGTGGTATGACATCAGATTAAGAGAATATGGAAGTCATTTCATGACTTCGCATGAATAGCTCCAACTCTGTTTTAAAACCTGTTTGGTCATTTTAGTTGCACTAGAATAGAACCAGTGATTCCTTAAAACTGTGCTGACTTCTCAAGTGACTTCTTGTTTTCTCAGAACTGGAAAGGTCATGTGTAAGAATAATGGTTATTATCTCTGCTGAAGGAAGCTGCCTCACCTGTTGGCTCCATTTGATGTGCACATACAAAGACATATTTCAGTCTTTAAAATGAGGGAGAGGGATTCGTGTGAAATTGATTTCATTAAAAATAATCTATAAAATAAATGTAGATATTGCTGGAACATATCTGTTCTGAATTAGAATATATTTCCCTTCTTCCCTCATTTTATAAGTACTTTTCTTCCTCCATACTGTACTGTAGTTTTCACTGTGTCTTGGATACCTTAATAAGCTATCTAAGAAAATTCTGAGAAAAGGAGCAAATTTAAGAGATAAACTGAAACGGATAAATGAGCACATGAAAAAAAACCCGTGTAGAGATTGGTCATGGGACAGGCCCAAGAACTATTTTCTTGAAAGAGGGTCTGGAGAGGTCACCTTCCTAGAAAGGAATAATGGTAGCTCCACCTGGAAGGCCAAAATCGAGACTCCTGTCTGTGGCAGGAAGTGGAGATTACATATACTCCTTAGGCCTGAAGAGCCTCAGAAGGCATGCCTGAGAGGCAAGGGGGCCTAGGGGTGAATCTTACCACAAGTGTTTATACTAAAAAGTTGGGTGCTACATTGGTCACCAACAGCCAGCAGTGTTTAAAGTGCCTCTGTTGGAGATAATCCAACCATTGGACCCTTACATCTTATCACATTTTCTTTACTTGTTACTGAATTCAGTTTGCATGATTTGAAATGATTCTGCTTTGGTCTCATCTCTTGTTTAACTCTTTTATTTATTACTGTATTGCTATTTATGTTTGCACTCTATGAGAAGTTAGAATTTCTTGAACTAAAAGAGGCAGAGTGGGTGGGAAATTCTGCATAGAAAAAATATTAAGGTTAATACAGTTATTATTAAACTGTTAGGTAAGCTTGGCAAGCTTCGTTTTTCTAACCTTTATTGCCTTATTTTGTTTTTAGACTGTAAGATTCACTCTTAACTATATAGTTTAAATATTAGAATATATAAATTTTAGTATAAAAGGACATGAAATAAATTCCATTTTTACATAAATATATTTTAAATATTTTCCAGAAAGCTGTAGAGGAGCCCCTTAATGGTATGTGGTTATTACAAACTTGTATATTCTTCTTGATCCATTACCTGATCATAATTTGAATAGCCTCCCAAAGCAGTTAGAATGCTCTATCTTTGCCTTGGGAAAAATCTAGTTTGTTTTTTGTTTTTTGGGTTTGTTTTTTTTTTTTTTGCCTTGACCCCTCTTTTTTTGATTATTCAGAGTATTGCTATTGTAATGTTCTTACCTCTGAGAAAAATGCCCTGTTCACTATCTCTCCAGTAGTTGCTTGCTCTGACCCAACAATATTTGGGCGAGGGGACCTTGGCCTTATATTAGGCAAGATGAAGTATAACACCCCCAATAGAGAAGAATCTCAATTAATTTCAGTTTCTGATGTATAAATTTCAGATTCAGGCTGTCACCATGGAATGAGACCCAAGCATCTCACTTTCTTTCTCCCTAAGTCTAGATCTGTGTTCTCAACTGACCTTGTTTCCTTTGTGGGGTCTGTGGGTATGATCCACAGAAAAGTTTTTGTAATAAAGTAATAGAGTTAAAATTAATTTGACTATAGCTGTGGAATAGTTAGCATGATATTACTGCATATTTATTTATTTAGAAATGATTTCTAATTGTGGAATCTTACTAACTGCCTGCTTGGCTTGTTACTAATTCTTAGCATTTAAAGAATCAAAAGGAATGATGAATGATGGTAAGTATAAAGTGCACCTACAATTATAGTTGGTTTAAAATATGAACAATGAAAAGAAGTAAAATGGCTCTTGAAAGTATGCTCTTTTATATGTAAAAGGGACACTGTCAAATCATAAAGGTCTGCATTTCTTGATTTATAAAACTTAAATCTCTTAAAAGTTACAAAACAAGTGCTAGAAAAGCTGTAGGGTGTCACTAATCAGACCCTCCAATCATATTGCTCATAGCAAAGAGAAATTACTGCTTTTTAAAAAACATTTTTCAGCTGCAGTATCTGGTGACTAACTTTTAAATGCTTTTTATAAGACACAGAGATAATCTGGCACAAATCTTTATCATCTTGACAGAGTTTCTTTTGTGTTTGTGTTGGCGATTTGTTGCATTTAATTCATGGGGTCTTAATATCTCTGCTTTTCTAAGCAGGACTCAGTTCTGTCCTTTCGGGAGAGGATTTAAGAGAGCAATGTTTAGTCAGTCGAGCTTTTGCTTCTTGTTTTGGAATTCTGGGCTAATAACTTCTAATTTTTATTGAATATTTCAAGGACATTCTTGTTAGTTTTTAAAAATAAGTTGGAGATACTGAGTGCTATAAGTATTCATTTTGATTTTACCTTAAGATGCTGTGATACTTCAGTTCTGTTAACATGTGATAACTTTGTTTTTATCTTATCAAAAATTTCTTCATACCTTTGATATTTGCAGTCATTCCTTGATCATGTAAATAGTTTGCTATTTTACTGCTTTAACATCCGTGACCTACCTCCTCACTTCTGTGGCAAAGTACAGCCTTTAACACAAGAGGCCATGTTCCCCTGAGTGCAGTTAGTTCTTGCATGAGATTAAAAACATGCTGATTATGTGTTGGTGGACAGAGTTTAAAACAAGGCTTAGGCCATGTTTGATAAGGAATCACAGAGCAATTCCACTTTTGTAAGTTTGTGTCGCAGCTACAGCCTTTATTACAAAGATGTATGTTTTGTTTGCCAACCACCACCCTCCTAAAAAATAACAAATTTCAAAAAAGAACCAGTCCCTGGAATTGTGGCATGGTTTGTCCATATTTACATTCTCGTGGTTTATTTTTTAATTTCTTTGCTTTCTTCCTGCTGTGGTGTCACTCTTCTGAAGCTGAATGAGGAAATGAAACTCCTTTTCTGTTTTCAGAAAACTAGTACAAGAGCCTTGAGTACCTCTTCCTTTTTTTAGAACCACTGTATCAGTAGATAGAGTAGTTTTTGTGTGTTCATAGCACACAAAATCTATGATGACCTTTGAAACTCCCTTAATTTTGCTAATATTTATCTGATTAGAATTTGTTGGCTTTTAAAACAAAAAAACAAAAAAAACAAAAACAAAAAAACCCTGTGTTTCTGGTGGGCTTGATGCTCACAGTGTGTCTGCCTGGTCAGTAAGTGTTTCAGACTAACCTTCTAGTGACCACAGTACCATTTTCTCTTCCTCTTGCCCCAAATCAACATTTTATTTCACTTCTGTCAAATGAATGGTAGAGGTCTGAAATGAATGGGGTAGAATATTATTCTGTGATCAGTATCTTCTGCTTTGAAAAATCAACATCTCTTGGCTTCTTAAGAGCTAACCTAGCAAACTGAGATTACCAGACTTTGCTGTTTTTTATTTTCATTAGGCATTGGCCGTTTACTTACTACAACTAAAAAGGCTGGTGATTTGCCAGGTTTATGTCTGTAACCTTTGCAAATCTAAGATTAAATACTTTTTCTTTATTTTTAGATATCATATATATGACAATTCCAGTTTTTTAAAATACATCAACTTGTTAGTGCATAGAAAATAGACATGAATAGTGATTATATGTTCATTTTTCAATTTTCCAGAGTAACTGAAGTGAAGTGACGGACTCTGATTTGTAAAGTAGTTAAGACATGAAAGGAGTACAATTGTGTTTGAGCACCATGGCCTTGGTTCACTGTTGAGGAGAAGAGAACAAGAAAAATAACTGGTTCTCATCTGTGGAAAAAAGTAAATCATTGACCCTTAAATGATTATTGTTACAGTTTTTATTCAAAGCATTTGTAATGTAGTTAATAAAAGAGTTATCATCTGTGTTGTGTGCCCAATTGAGATCCACTTTTTTGTTGTTATTTTTACTCAATTAGGGGCAAGAGTAGAGTGGCCAACTTCCAAGAATGATGCCTTTCAGATCCTAGGGTCTCTTGACTTTAGGTCACCACTTTAAATTGGTTCAAGGTGAGAATTACCTGGCACTACCCTCGTGGTTTCCCAGAGAGATCTCTGAAGAACAGTGGCTTCCGTAGAACCTTAGCAAACTCGAGTTCACAGCCACGTTGGCAGTTATGGCTGGTGTTAGCCGAATATGGTTTGTACCACTTCTGGGTCAAGGGAATAGCAAATTTAAGAACAGAGAGGAGTTTGCTTGGGAACATCTTGAATGCTGCCTGCGTGTGATGTGATCCGGCAGGAGATCGTGGTCTTCATTCTTGGGGGTTGCCATTCACACATTTCTTCCTTCGACATACAGTGTAATGAATCCTTTCCAGATTTAGAGTAATTTTATTGATGGATGTGTTTTTCTTTTATTCACACAACCCTTTAAATCCTGTCTTGTCCTTCTGTTAATTGCTTCTGCGGTACAAGATGTAGCACCTTTTCTCCTCTTTGAACGTGGTCCAGTGACACGGTAGAATCATTGTAGAAAGGAGCCAGACTTATTCTCAGCAAACTATGTTCACACTTTTCAGCAAAAATAGCGATGGTTGTAACATATGTATTTCCTTCCTCGGATTTGAAGGCACAATCTACAGTGTTTCTTCACTTCTTTTCTGATCTGGGGCATGAAAAACCAAGATTGAGATTTGAACTATGAGTCTCCTGCATGGCAACATAATGTGTGTCACCGTCAGGCCGACAGGCCCACCCGCGACAGGGTGGTTTTGTTACCATTGTATCTGTGTTGCATGATAAGCACTCATCTTCCTCATGTAGTCCTGCCTCTGTAAGCCCCACACTCTAAGATCGGAAAGCAAAACAAAACCCCCCACATCTCCTACCCCCGTTAGAAGAAAATTAACATTTCTGACAGTCGTGATCGCCTGGAGTACTTTTAGATTCTTAGCACTCGTTTTCTTCCTTCATGGGTGTGTGTGTGCGCGCGCGCACATGTATAAGATAGGCACATTCATCTTCTGTACGGACAACAGCGGGATACCTACAGGAGAGCAAATGTTAATTTCATGCTTTTAGTAACAACGTTAAAAAATCTTTATTGGGTGGAATTATATTTGATGCGAATATTTGATCACTTAAAACTTCAAAAACTTCTAGGTAATTTGCCAAGCTTTTTGACTGCTCACAATACCCTCTAAAAATACTAGTAATTCTTCCTGTCTGTGTAATAGTAAGATATTCATATCTGTAGTTAACATTACTTAATAGTTATTTCTTAGTCCACTGAATGTTCCCATGTGCCTCTTTTATGCCAAATTAATTGTCACATTTCATGTTGGGACCAAGTGGTTTGCCTCTGGCAAACCTTACGACCTGCTGATGCTTCTCAGAAAACTGAGCAGACTATGAAGACAGCTCTTGGGAAAAAAAATTTTTTTTCTTTCCTAGTTGTGTCCAAAATACTATCATATGTAGAGGGAGCTGTATTCCTTTATATAAATCTGATGGCTCTTGCTGTTTTTTCCTCTGAAAATATATTTTACTAATATTGTTTACTTTGGGAATCAATTTTGATGAAAGGAGGAGAAAAGCAGATGAACTTGAAAAAGATCCAGATACCTATTCTCTATTAACAAAAAGTAAAGCATGAAAATCTTTATAGCAGACTTTTTTATAAACTCAAGTTGTACCTTTTAATATGCAATAAGCTCTCATTTATTTGGGGTTCAGTTTTGGGACCTATCCATCACCCTTTGTGTTCTCTTTAACACCGCCTGTCTTCTGAGGCACTCACTGCCCTAGACAACACACAGAGTAAGCAGGAGAGATGCCAGGTGACATCAACTCTTGCTCTTCCTAGCTGTCAGCTTCTCTGGAAAAGGGACCACATCAGCAGGAGCCCTCTTGCTTGGGCATCACTGGGCCAGTTCATTCACTTTAAATTAGACTTGCGGTGGCTCACAAATTTTGTCACACCAAATTAGAATTGTTAACAATGTTTTGAGCATCATGTATCTGTCCCCGACCCCCCTGACAACCTGCTTTTTACTCAATGATCCCAATATTTGCCATTGACTAACACTCGATTTTATTTAGTGCACATCCTCTGGTGCCACTTGTCATTTTTGCAACAACTCCTCCAATGTTTTTGGCCAAATCCAATTTTCCGTCTCCTTCAAAACATTGTCTTCCAGCCCTCCCTCCCCTCCTGGCTCTCATCTGTAGCTCACCCCCATCTCTGTAGCTGCCTCTTTCATCTCTTCTATACCTTTCTTAGTACTTCGTGTGTGTCTGCTGAGTTCTGTCAGGTTTTTTGTCTTGCTTCTCTCAATTTTGAAATTCTGTTAGGGCAAGAGCTTTTTTATTTTCCTCTTTCTCTTCCTGCAGTGTTTTTCATTCATTAGGTGTTCAGTGCATAAGTTGGATGATTGAAAGTTGGCTGTATGCAGATTCCCCACTATTTTCAGTAGGGTGATTTAGATCGTTTTCTTTTTTGACAAATTTCACATGCCCTGAAAACCTTAAAAGGTTATGACTTTTCACCTGGAAACTCCAGGTCTGTTTTGTTTAAATTTCTGAGAATGTCAAAATGAAAAAATGGGGCTATCCCAAAATTTGAGAGTATTGTTCATGCCAGGATGCTATAGTCCATTTAGTAAATGACCAACCAAATTGTGATTTGAGTTAATAATGCTCAAAAAGTGATATGTTTACTCCTCCATCTCATTAAGAATCAAGCTCTGTATCACCTTCTAGATATTTTTTGTCCTAAAAGGGGTATTCAAAAACAGATCTGTGGGATGTGTATGGAAATACATACTCCAATGGCATTTACCTGCCATTGGAAACCAGAGAAAGGATTGTTGGGCAACACTTTCTCTTTTTATTATGTTTTATTTAATGGAGAGTTTGTTTAGAAACCTTAGTTTCACATGTGTCACATTTTCAAAATCACTAACTGCCATCACCCACTGGAGTCCTTTTTTAAGTCATTTTCCGTGGCTAATAGGGATAATCCAGGTAACTTTTAAGAGCTAAGCAGTGAATAGAAAGTTTTCCTGCCTTTGGCTTTTGACAGCTCTTACTTATCATTTAAAACCAGCTTTCCCATAAATTTAGCCTTTTGAAAAGCATTTGTAATAAGTTTCTCTGTAAGGCAACATCAGTGGAATCTTAAAAGTGTTGTTACCAGGGTTGGTGAGAGAAGGAAACATTTCTGTTTTTATTAAATGGAGCATTATTTACAAAAAGCCATTGTTGAGATTTAGATCCTACATCATATAAATATCCATTAACCATTCTAAATAAAGAAAACTCCAGTGTTGCTATGTGCAAGATCCTCTCTTGGGGCTTTTTTCCATAGCAATTAAAGGTGTGCTATTTGTCAGTAGCCATTTTTTGCAGTGATTTAAAGACCAAAGTTGTTTTACAGCTGTGTTACCGTTAAAGGTTTTTTTTATATGTATTAAATCAATTTATCACTGTTTGAAGCTTTGAATATCTGCAATCTTTGCCAAGATACTTTTTTTATTTAAAAACATAACTTTGTAAATATTACCCTGTAATATTATATATACTTAATAAAACATTTTAAGCAATTTTGTTGGCCTATTTCTGTTGCTGTTAAAGCAGACCACAAACACATTTCTAAGAAATTTAGTTCGTTGTATCTTCAAGTTGTCCATATTCTAAGTAACAATGCAAAGGATCACTTAAAAATTAATTTATAAATTATTTTTAAAAGTATATTAACCAATGAACAAACTTTTAATTGGAGCAAAGTTTTAACTAAAAGTTTTATTAAACAAGTCTGTCGTGTTGGATTTTCCCACGGTCTGGTGTGAACGTCACCTGAGAAAGCAAGAGCCCTGGCTTCTGGTCCTGGCTGTACTGCTGACTAACAGAGAACCTTGGCAAGCTGCCTCCCCGCATCTCCGTGCCCTTCCTTACCTGTAGAGAGAGTCCTCTTCCAAGACTGAGATGCAGATTAAAATAGTTCTTCCTTTTAACTGGTGGTCACTTAGGACTATTTTGATTACCAGTGAAAGAAAACCTGCATCTAAGAAAAATGGGATTTATTGGCTAACTGAAAATTCAGGGGCACAACTGGATACTGGGTCTCAAAACGGTGTCCTAAGGATCCACTGTCTCCCCAGCTCTCGAGCTAGCTCTTGCCTGCCTTCAGAGGTTGCATGTGATGGCAAGATAGACAATTGCTGTTCCAGACCCACTTGCTGCCAAGGTCGGGGAACATGGGAGGAAAAAAAAAAGTGCATCTCTCTCTCAGTAGTCCTATCCACCCCATATTGCACCTCCGTGCTGTGACTGGTCCTGAGCCTCCTGATCTCACTGACTGACGCCAGGCATCTCTGACGTCCCACCGGGCTGGCCTGACTCCCTCGGCTAGCCTGGAATGGAGATTGTGGGTGCCATCTGGGGTGGGGGTGGGGATTGGGGGGAAGTAAACTTGAAGCCCAAGTCAGGGGATTGTTACCAGATGATAAGATGTCATTAGACTTTTGAGCACAGCCTTCCTAGTCGGCACTGCATGCCTTGCAGGTATGTACTCTATGATTCTGCGTTGTATGTGTGATTGTCGACTGTTTGAATGGAAAATAATATTTGGTAGCAAGGTACCATCTCATTTCTTACCTCATAGGCAATTTAATTTTTTATGCATTTATGAGGACTTTTTCACTCTCAGCAGGAGTAACTAATGGAGTTCAGAAAGCATTTAAATGGCCTACCTCCTGCACTGCAGCCTGCTCTGTGTAGCACGGAACTGTACTCAACCTGATTAGGACTCCGACGGAGGTGGAGACTTGCAGATGCAACTGGATTTCATTTCTGTGCAACGCCTTTCCAGCTCAAGGCTTCAAGTTTGACAGCTTTAGAAAATGCCGGATTATGGTAACACCATCTATGTAGGACATGATATCACCAGTAGCTCAGAGGTTTGAGCACAGTTGACGGTGGTGTGAGCCGCGAGACTGTGCTGGAACTCTAAGCCCAGTGTTGATTTTGTGCATGTAAGCTTCATGCTCAAGCACCCATCCACCAAACCCGGGGGT